TTTCCATGGGGCCTAGGTATGGTAAATAAGTAGTCCAAAACCATCCAGACAAAAGGTTGAAAACTGCTTTTACCTCTCCTAATCCTTTCCAACCACCCATCCACTTTGTCTTGTTTCAGCTGTTATTGCTACCTTTAGGAGTACCCCCTTCCTTCCTGAGGCCCCAGCTCTTGTACTCCCTCCCAGCCAGTTCTCTCCTATGTTAACCAAACATTTTGGCTCCATTGGTGCATAATGCTAATCAGTATTCAACCCACAGTTTTCGCCGGGGTGATGATTCATGGGCATTGTATTCAGGAATATCAACTGAGTAATCAAACTCCTGGGGAACTGGCAGAATTACTCCTTCAGGAAATATCTGCATCCATCCCTTCTTCTCAGGCGACAAACAATGAACCAATTCGTAGCCAGACTACCTTCTACGTAACAACTACTCTCACTACAGTTTCTTTGATCTTTGGGGATTTTAGTCTATTTAGTCTGTAGTTTTTAGATATGTACGTTACAAGTGTTTGCAAAGTCAGCATGTTCACATCATGATATCTCATTTCCATTGTAAGACATGGCTAGATAGTGACACATCGAAAAGTTCATCGCCTGTTTTTGTGAATTCATGTCTGCGATCAAATAATAAGTTAATAAGTAGAATAGTTTTATTTTTGGATGGATTGATTTCTGCATATCAGCGCAGAATCGTTCTTTCCCGATTAGATCATGATGGTTATGTGTCTATTAACTATATGCGTAAAGTTTCTGAGACAGACCATATCTGACTCGGAACATAACAGTGAACAATAGTAATCTCAACATTAATTTTGATCATTTCAAAAAACTAGGGGTATTTCTGTCTCATACTCTCCACAGTAACGTTTTTGACTCCTTTGTGCGAAGCACAAAAAGGGAGTTTTTGCAGTTAGTGTGTCTCTGTCTGTCTGTAATTACCTAATTTGCATGATAATTAGCTGATTTTTAGCTGTTCCATGACTGTTCCACTGATATCTAAAGAACCACTCATTAGATTTAGATGAAACTTTGCACACAGATGCTCCAAACTAATGCGTAGATTTGATTAGTTTTGGGTAAAAATCTGTGCAATATTAATTACCTAATTTGCATAATGATTAATCAATTTTTGTAATCATCACATTTCAATGACACTTGGTACATAGTTACTTAAGGACTGTGCAGACTCCTGATTAGTTTTTGGGTAAATATTTGTGCATATTAATTACTTATTAGCATAATTAGTTAATTTTCACTAATCATTATATTTTAATGAGACTTCTAGGACTATGCAGAGACCTGATTAGTTTTAATTGGATATTAATTACCTAATTTGCGTACTGTTCCACTGATATATAAAGAACCACAAATTGGATTTAATGAAACTTTTAAAGAGAACTATTCAGAGACCCAATTAGTTTTTGGTAAATATTTATGCTTATTAATCACCTAATTAACATAATTAATTAACACTGATATCTCAATTTACTCTTAGCACACGGGAGTACTTTCTAAGCTTTCTTTGATTTGAATTTGCGAAGGTGATTTCCATTGTCTTCTTTCAAGCCCTTATGTGATAAGGAACAACACATTAGGAAGAGTGTGAATGTTTGTGAAAATTAGACTGACTCATCCTGTCTCAGCATCATGTGACATTGATTGACAGAAATATTCAAGCTCAGCAGCACATCCTTTCAATGGTTCATAAATAAAGCATACAATCACTGTGATATTCAGTCACATACATCTACTTTTAGTGCTATAAGTTGAAGAAAACACAAGTTCTTCCCTTACACACGAATGACACAGAAATTTCTAGTAACACAAGTTCTTCCCTTACACACCAGTGACATAGAAATTTTTTGTAACACAAGTTCTTCCCTTACAGACAACAAATGTGAGCATAAAAACAAAGGAAACCTGGTGTTACAACAGTGTAGTTTTGCCTTCAGAAGCACCTCTTACCAAAGTGACTCAACTTGATGAATTCCATTGTGATTCAAAATTCCTACAAAATGATTCATCTTAGGGGGGCACAATTTTCATGGATAAAAAAAGTTCTAAAAAAAATACATCTTGTGGCCATTTTAGAAATATTGCTTTATCTTGCCAACAGAGTAAGATCTAAAAATGTCCAGGCGTAGTGGACGAATTGATAGTGGTACGCCTCCAGCCAAGAAAGGACGCTTTGTATCCAGTGATGAGGAATCCAGTGAAAATGAAATGGATCAATCACAAAATCCAGATTTTATAACTCCAAATTCGGTGAGTCAGAACATTCTGTATGTATCCATTGCTGTCTAAACTTGAGCAAAATTTAATAATTAGATTGATTTCAAATCATTTTGTATGTATTCATCGCTGTCTAAACTTGAGGAGAAGTTAATTAGATTGATTTCAAATCATTTTGTATGTATTCATCGCTGTCTTAACTTGAGGAGAAGTTAATTAGATTGATTTCAAATCATTTTGTATGTATCTATCGCTGTCTTAACTTGAGGAGAAGTTAATTAGATTGATTTCAAATCATTTTGTATGTATTTATCGCGGTCTTAACTTGAGAAGTTAATTAGATTGATTTCAGATCATTTTGTATGTATTCATCGCTGTCTAAACTTGAGCAGAAGTTGATAATTAGATTGATTTCAAATCATTTTGTATGTATTCATCGCTGTCTAAACTTGAGCAGAAGTTGATAATTAGATTGATTTCAAATCATTTTGTATGTATTCATCGCTGTCTAAACTTGAGCAGAAGTTGATAATTAGATTGATTTCAAATCATTTTGTATGTATTCATCGCTGTCTAATCTTGAGCAGAAGTTGATAATTAGACTGATTTCGAATCATTCTGTATGTATCCATTGCTGTCTAATCTTGAGCAGAAGTTGATAATTAGATTGATTTCAAATCATTTTCTATGTATGTATCCATTGCTCTGTAGACTGAAGCAGAAGTTGGTATCATTGAAAGGGTAACTTTAAAGAATTTTATGTGTCACAGTCGACTGGAGTTCAACTTTGGGCCTAATGTTAATTTTATTGTGGGACGAAATGGAAGTAAGTTGTGTTATACAAATATGATTGTCTCTAATGATAAAGAATTATAAGGTATTGGAAGGAATGTTTTGTGTTGATACAGGACTTTTCATCAGTCCTTTCATTATTTTTTGGCCATGTACAATCTGTTTTATTTTTACACGATTCATACATTGGGAAGATAATGGGTTGTAGTAGAAGTTATGTACAGTATGCTATTTTGTGTATTGTGTTTTTAGCCCCCTGAAGTATGCTAGTTTGTTGTTTATTGCTGTTGTTGGTTGTAATTCGTGAAATGTTTGCTCAATTGACAGCACAGTTTTTTATCATGTGAAGTTTATTGCTATTGCTTATAGGTGGTAAGAGTGCTGTGTTAACAGCTATGGTTGTTGGTCTGGGTGGTAAAGCAACTGTTACCAACAGAGGTTCATCAGTCAAGGCTTTCATTAAAGATGGTCAGAGGTAAAAAATAAATATACTTATTCACATAACTTTGTTATAATGCATTGTACAAAGGTTTTTGATATTTCTACAATATTTGCTTTATTAGCAGCACATTCATTTGTGTAAATTACAGCACATTAGTTTTGCACATCACCTAGTGTTGAGATGCATGTATTCGTGGCTGTTATGATCTGCTAATACAGTTAGATGTATAGCTGTATAGAAATAATGCTAGTGGTCTTTTATATATATTTGTTAAACATAATCTTGCCTGCAGCGAGAGTCGTTGGAAATCTGTGCTTTTATTAGCTCCGCTGTTGACTTTGTCGAGCGGAGCTTATCATATGAGTGATTGTCCGTCGTCGTCCGTGTCAATGTTTTACTTTTTCGACTTCTTCTTGAAAACTACAAGCCTGAATGCTTTGATACTTGGTGTATATGTACCTTGGGTAGACCTCTCTCAGATTTGTTCATTTCATGATCATATCTTCAATTCGAGAGGCTGCTTGTTAATATACACGGTAATAGTGTTATACATGTACACTACCCTATTTTCAAATGAAATGCTGTTTGTTTTTGGCAAAAACCAGTGAGTGACAGGCTAATTGGCCTATTTTTAACTCTGCTGTCGACTTTCTTGAGTGAAGCTTATCATTATTAGTGATTGTCCATCATCGTCTGTGTCAACTTTTTACTTTTTTGGCTTCTTCTTGAAAACTACAATTCTTATTGCTTTGATACTTGTATATGTACCATGGGCAGACCCCTTAGATTTGTTCATTTTGTGATGATATCTTTAATTCTCTAATTTTAATGAATGGTTTTGTCATTTCTGGTAAAAAGTGATATTGTCGTCAGGAAACTAAATGTCTTGGTAAACTAAATTTTGGGCTGGGTTTGGATTCCAAGTTAAAGCAAATGATATAAAATATGATTTCTTTCTTCCACAGCACTGCTGAAGTTGCAATAAAGCTACGTAATCGAGGTACTGATGCCTTCAAGTCTGAATTGTATGGGAACTCTATTGTTGTAGAACGTAAACTATCTGCAGATGGTGGCACACAGTATAAACTGAAATCAACTAGTGGTAAAATAGTTTCAACCAAGAGAGAGGAATTATCACATATACTAGATCAATTTAACATTCAGGTAATAGTCGGCAATCAGTTTGAGCTGTTTATATGGGTGATTGTCCGTCATTGTTCGTTCGTCATCCGTCAACAATTGCATTTTTAACTTCATGAAAACTAACAGCTCAATTGCTTTGATACTTGGTATGTAGGTACCATAGGCGGACCTCTGTCAGATTTGTTTATTTTGTGTTAATATCTTCAATTCTCTATTCTTGGCAGTTTTGGTAAAAATGCTATTTTTGACCTCTTCTTGAAAACTACCAGTCTTATTACTTTGATACTTAGTATGGTTTTTAAGCAAGAGAACAATTTTAACAACTGCCTAGTGTATAAACAATGGTCATGGCATATAGCTAATATCATATAGAACATTATCAACTTTGTTAAAAAGATACTCTGAAGACAGTGGGGCTATTTTGATCGTAAAGTCGCTTGAATATGTCTATATGTGTGATTATAACATTTTGTCAGTCTATGTACTTCCAGTCATACTGCATTAAAATTGACATACAGATGGTGAATGGTGCCCTTTGGTGTAGATTAACATGATTTTTACTGAACACTGAAATTGACTATCAGTAAAAAACAAAACATAGGGACTGTGCATTGTCTGCTTGTTTTTGTTGGCCTTGCTCTTAAATCTAGACACCAATTACAAAAGTGTATGAGACAATGTTTCATTCAAAGTTTTGTAATGACTTGTCAGAATTTTGTCTCTACCTTAGATATATTACTGTGTAAATTTGCTATGTAAATATGATTACAGGTTGATAATCCAGTGTCTATTCTCAATCAAGATACCAGCAGAAATTTTCTACATTCCAAGAATCCACATGACAAATACAAGGTGAGTTTGTTATTGCTCCTTGTCTGCCTTGCTTACAAGATTTGATACCTAACCATTACATGATTTGACACCCAAACATTACATGATTTGACACCCATCCATTATATGATTTGACACCTAACCATTACGAGATTTGACACCTAACCATCACAAGATTTGACATCCAACAATTACAAGATTCGACACCTAACCATTACATGATTTGACACCCAACCATTATATGATTTGACATCTAACCATTACATGATTTGACACCCAGCCATTACAAGATTTGACACATAACCATTACATGATTTGACACCTAACCATTACATGATTTGACACCAAACCATTATATGATTTGACACCTAACCATTACGAGATTTGACACCTAACCATCACAAGATTTGACATCCAACAATTACAAGATTTGACACCTAACCATTACATGATTTGACACCCAACCATTATATGATTTGACATCTAACCATTACATGATTTGACACCCAGCCATTACAAGATTTGACACATAACCATTACATGATTTGACACCTAACCATCACATGATTTGACACCCAACCATTACATGATTTGACACCCAACCATTACTTGATTTGACACCTAACCATTACATGATTTGACACCTAACCATTACATGATTTGACACCTAACCATCACAAGGTTTGACACCTAACCATTACTTGATTTGACATCTAACCATTACTTGATTTGACACCTAACCATTACTTGATTTGACACCTAACCATTACTTGATTTGACACCTAACCATCACAAGATTTGACACCTAACCATCACAAGATTTGACACCCAGCCATTACAAGATTTGACACATAACCATTACATGATTTGACACCTAACCATCACATGATTTGACACCCAACCATTACATGATTTGACACCCAACCATTACATGATTTGACACCCAACCATTACTTGATTTGACACCTAACCATCACAAGGTTTGACACCTAACCATCACAAGATTTGACACCTAACCATCACAAGATTTGACACTCAATCATTACATGATTTGCTACCTAACCATTACAAGATTTGCCACCTAACCATTACAAGATTTGCCACCTAACCATCACATGATTTGACACCCAACGATTACATGATTTGACACCTAACCATCAAATTATTTGACACCTAACCATCAAATAATTTGACACCTAACCATTACTTGATTTGACACCTAACAATTACATGATTTGACACCTAACCATCACATGATTTGACACCTAACCATCACATGATTTGACACCTAACCATTACATGATTTGACACCCAAACATTACAAGATTTGACACCCAAACATTACAAGATTTGACACCTAACCATTACTTGATTTGACACCTAACCATTACATGATTTGACACCTAACCATTACTTGATTTGACACCTAACCATTACTTGATTTGACACATAACCATTACTTGATTTGACACATAACCATTACTTGATTTGACACCTAACCATTACTTGATTTGACACCCAAACATTACATGATTTTACACCTGACCATCACATGATTTCACACCTAACCATTACTTGATTTGACACCTACAGTACAGTTCTCACGGAAGCTTTGGCTTCACTTCAGCTTCACCTTCGCTTCAGCATCGCATCATTATGGCATTGTTATGGCTTCAGCATCGCTTCAATGTCGCGACATTAAAAAGTTAGGCGGTTATCGCTTCGCTTCATTGTGGCCTCATTATGGCGACAATGTGGCATCAGCATCGCTTCATCAAACAAAGAAGTACAGAACTCATTTCGCCCAACCTCTCGCCCGCTTCCGCTTTTCAATCGCTCGCTTTTGCGACCGCTTGTTGAATTTCCGCTTTATTTTCGACTGTGCAAAAATTCGGACTACTAACAATTTTCTGGTTTTCATAGATCACGATTACTAGTTTAGTAACTGTGCACAGACGTTAAACAACCGTCAAAAGTTCAAATACTTTTCGTTTTAACTATCTATAATTATATGCACGCAATCTGACCCTTTGACCTAAGATTTGGCTG